CACAAAGGACCATATCTCTTACATTATCTGCATGTCTGCACTTCATATTAATCCTCCAAGGCAGGATTCCCATTGGATTCACCTGTATATCCCCCAATTTTATACTGTGCACACCACAAACTAGGTGCTTAAAACATTACTGAAAATAGTTAAGCCTGACTATAAAAAAGACCTGAGATTCATCAAATAAGCACACAATAAGTGCAGAATAAGCAGAGTTTCTTATGGTCTTGGAAGGGAGACAGATTATGGATGGCTGGGGAAAACGCCAGGATGAGGACTACTGAGCATGGAAGTTGAAGAAAATAAGTAAGAAGTACACTCAAGCTGGAGGGTAACTTCTCAGGTCATCATTCATGCAAGAATTTTCTCTACACTTCATTAAAATGCCTGCCAGGTCAAAACGTTCCTTTCTATGAACGTCTTTCTTTTATGTCACTTTAGAGAAGAATCAAAGTACGCAGGTCTGCTATTAGTATCCTCCTTTCAAGTGCGAGGATGGTGAAGCCAAGCAGGTGAATGATTCAAAGTGTCTTTTTATCTTTAGGAATCTGCCTCCTCATAACTACAGAGTGCCAAACAATGTTATTTACTAAATAATCAGAAATAAAACCTTAACTGGCATTATTAGCAGTCATCATTTTGTAAGAAATCAAGTGTTTTAAAAGCCACTTAATATCTCTTTTAAGTACAAATTGTTATTATTACTTAAATGTCATGAAAGGGATTGTTATGTTTTATAGGCTTATTATATTAGGACATTAAAGAAGACCAAGATGTAATATCTTGCTTGTGTTTGGAAGTATGTTTGATAGTACTCTATGAAGTTTTTCCCATAAAGTTTAATTTGGCTTGTGCAGTCATATTGTGGTTTTAGGCAGAAATACAGGTAAACAAAGTTAATAATACACCAAAAAGATGAAGGAGAGGAGTAGTCTTGAGTTCTTGCAGGGGCAAGTTTAATGCACTAAAAAAACAAAACAGACGACTTTCTATTCTCCATGAAATATTTAACTTTAAAATACAATCCTCCTACAGTTTAAGTTTGTATTTGGGGTACTTATGACAGGGGAACACTGGCGTTGAGTCTAACTACAGTGGACCATAATATTCTATCTTACAGATAAGGAACATTAGGCATATATATATTTTTTTAATAGGTAAAGAATTTTGATAATATGTTTCACACTTTATTCCCAGCCTTCTCCAGCTTAACTGGCTGCAAAGAATGAACTGTATGTAAGCAAAAACTGAAAAGAGCTGCAGTGTCCAAGGGGCTTGAGCTTAAAAAATATTAAGATATCTAGATTTTGTCAGATACATAAACAAAAACAATTTTAAAAAAGTAGTCATAATATAAAATAGCAGCTCCCAGTACTTTCTTCCAAGTTTGATCTTTTTCAGAAGCTGACTTAGTTCAGTTTGCCTCATTCTTAGAAGCCTCATCAAAATTCTCCGCAAGATCTGGAACTTTGTCATCACCCTTCTCTCCAGAGGCAAGCAGTGCTTTTCCATCCACAGATAGTTTGGGTGAGCTTCAGCCAGTTTCCTTAAGCTAGTCAGACTGTCTGCACCAAGCTGGTTCGAGATGCTGGGTAGCATTACTGTCATTGTTTTGTCGCAGCATGGCCTGTAATGGTGAAAGTGTTGGCTACCAAAGATGCCTGAACTTTTGGTTTGTTGAAGTGGATAACTGTTCCCTGATTTGTAAACATATTCACCTCTTCAATACCAGAGCTATTGTTTACCCCTAACTTCTTTAATGAGAACTGAAGTTTTCATCATCTGCTGTGGCCGTTCTATGAGCCACCTTCTTTCTGCGAGCAGTTCCTTTCCCACCAATGTGCACTTGTGTCTGCAGTTCGGCGAGTTTTTCCTGGTTCATATAGTTTCTTTCATCTTGTTGGATCAGATATGGGGCAGCACGGGGGACTAGGGCTGGCACTCAGGCGGTCTTGGGTAGACCAGCTGAGATTAGGTGCACACATGCAGGGACCCAAGATGGTAGCTAGCAACATTAGGCATATTGAGAACACATAGGCCTGGTTCTCTGCAGAATTACTAGTGGCCCAAATAATAATGTATGTCCTCACCCAGACTACTACATATGCTTCCTGAAAGCGTGATAGTATTTTTACAGCTTATAAGTTATACAAAGAATAAAATACAAAATATTTCAGAAAATTTAATCTACTTTTGAAGTCATTAAACATTTACTTAGGTACATTAAAAATTACACAAATCTGACTTCATATTGGATACTTCTATTTATGGCTAAGGAAAACAGAACCATAGCTTCTATTTAAAATAAGAAAATATGTATGAAAACAAGTATTTCCTCATTAGACTATTTTCTATACCACTTGTAATTGAGGGTAAGTTCTTTATAGTTTTTATTTAAATAGAAATTAAATTTTATAGTTCCAATCTAAAAGTGAGATCTGAATGAATAGACACTTCTCAGATAAAGAAGTAGAAACAGCAAATAAATATGTAAAGTGCTCAACATCACTGGTCGTTTGAGAGATATGAATTAAAACAACACTGAGATTCCATCTCATTCCAGAAGAATGACCATCTTTCAGAAGTCAGCCAATAACAAATGCTGAAGGGGCTGTGGGAAAAAAAGAACACTTCTCCACTATTGGTGGGACTATAGTTGGTACAACCACTGTGGAAATCAGTGTGGAGTCTTCTCAAAAACCTATGAATAGAGTAGTTCTCTTTGACCCAACTCTTCTCCTTGTTGGTATTTTCCCAAATGAATTAAAAGTATAATACTACCGTGATATATGCACACTCATGTTCATGGCAGCACAATTTGTAATACTTAAATCTTGGAAATAGCCCAAATGCCTACCAGCAGATAAATGGATAAAGAAGATGTGGATGTTTTATACGATGGAGTAATACTCTGCCACAAAGAAGGATAGAGACATTTCTAGGTAAATGGATGCACGCTGAGACTACACTCTTAAGTGAAATACATCAGACATGACATGTTTAAATATTGTACTGTTTCTCTGTTGTGAGAGACCAAAAATGCAAATAAAGTCTAAAATGTATAACATATTGGGAAATGGAAATGGAAATGTGCAAATGAGAGGAGGAAAAGGGAAGGGTCAAGGGAAAGGAAGGAAAGGAAAAGAAAAAAAGAACAGAAGGAAACGTGTCTCAGTTACTCTTTTCTCATGGGTGGACAAATAGCTGACACTCAAAATGAAGGAAGGAAAGGTTTATTTAGCTCACAGTTACTGGAAGTTTCAGTCCATACTCAGCTAGCTCCAAGGCAAAGTGCACAAGGCAGAGAGCAACCTTTCACAGCGGTGGCAAAAAGAAGAGGGCAAAGGGAGGAGTAGCAGCAGCTCAAGCAGCTAGCTTCTCTTCTCTCCTTGCATTGTAATGCAAATTACCTGTCCCAGAGCAGGTATAGCACTCATACCCATAGTCCCAGTGGATCATGAGTGAATCACAAACTCTAGAAGTCTGCCCATGACTGCATGAGGCTTTGGGGGAGACAACTAAACACGAAGCATAACAAAAGGAATGGGACTGGGTATGTTGGTGCACACCAGTAATCCCAGCAGTGGGAGGTAGAGGCAGGAGAATCACTATGAGTCTGAGCTGTATAGTGAGGCCCTGTGCCAAATAAATAAATAAATAAATAAATGATTTTTAATCTCATATTTATAACATAATTTGATTCTTATATATGTATATGCAATAGTTTTTAAATAATTTGACTCTTTTAAAGATAATTAAAAAAGATATATAATATAAAGTACAAATTACCTCTGATAAATGTTATCATTATTTATATCTCAAATGCACTAATAAAAAAATTAAGCTCCAGATCCATAAGAATTTTGTAGTACCAGAAATATAAGAAGATGGTTAAAATGTCCCGTATGTTGGTTATTCTACCCTAAAGTCCTTTTATGCTTAACCTATGTTCTGAGCTCAAGTCTTAACAGAGACTACACTGGAGTGAGACAGGATAACAGAAAAAGTGGAACAGGGAAATACATCTGCAGTTGAAAATCAGTTTCATAAAGTTGATTTCATAAAGCTCAAAGTAAGCTCAAGTAAAGTTCAAAGTCCTTATCTGTATTTGGATATTATTCAGCCACTAGAGAAAGGCATTCTCCAATGACAGCCTTATCAAAGTAATACTTAGGATTCCTCTGCAGGGAATAGCAGTTGATTAAGGAAGACTGAAGTGAGAACTTTTACCAGTTTGCTCAGAAATTATTTTTCCAGCATAGTTAGACAACTAGGTCTACCATGGGAAAATTAATTCTATGGGAATAAGCTGGGGTCTGCTAACAAGTTTCAAAGCAAGACATAGTAGAAGCTAATTTCTAAGCAAAGAACATCATCAGTTTATTTTTCAAGAAAAATTTTAAGTAAACATTCCTTCTTCGTATCTTTTAAATTTACTAGTACATGCTCTCAGGACATCACATCTGTGGAGCTGGGTGGGCCATGCGACTCATCTCAATTCCTTTTTCATTCCCTGTCTTTCCCCTACCCCCCCATCTCTTGATCCCCTTCCTTTTCTTGGGTATATGTTTGCAGTACATAATGTTTATAATCCCTAAGGGTTGGAAAAAAAAAAGAAATTGTGATATTTAACATATTTAACACTAAATATCATGCTTGTTTTGCTTAGGTTGTTTAGGATACTTGTTATTCCTAAATTCTTTTTTTAATTTTTATTTTTATTTTATTTATTTATTTTTTGCACAACCAGGGGTTGAACTCAGGCCCATACGCTTGCCAGGGAAGTGTTTATTCCACTGAGCCATCTCCCTGGCTTTTTTTTTTAAATTTTTAATAAGGTGAGGTAAAAGATGCAACAGGCATTTCTTAATCCCTAGTAGATAAAAATCTCATATTTGTAACATATAATTTTATTCTTATATATGTATAAGCAATAGTTTTTAAATAACTTGACTCTTTTCAAATTGTACATAAAACACTACTGAATACCATTTAACACTGATATTTTATGATTAGCTTTATTAATGGTATACATTTTCATGCATTTAAAAATTTTGCTATTCACAATGGTTGATTCAGTTCAAGTCAACAAATATTCAAGCTTACATGAGAGAAGGATGAAATGGTATTACGGTTTTATATAATAAGCTAAGTTGTTTTTAAGAATAAAAGTTAATATTTGGATTCAAAAACCTAAATTTTAAAAAGTTGGAGTTGATGTAACCAATATATTATTTAGGCCACAGGACTGCCCATTAATCTCTCTTGTCGGAGAGCAATTAATCTCTTGAACCATTTTTCCTCAGCTTCAGCTTTTTCAATAAATAACTGAAATAAAAAAGGAAAAGAAAAATATCATTATCTACCAATAACTTGCACTTGACTTAATATGATACAAATCACCTTTATGGAGTACATTTTTTAGCATAAGATTCAGATATTGTTTAATCCTTGATGACTACTTAAAGTCCATCTCTTTGGAATTATAAATGCTTAAAAAAATCTTAAAAGCACCGACATTAACACCCCTGGTTAACAATTTTCATCCTATGTTTGTGAGTTCATTTCCTACAACTCTTCTGAGAGGCAAAATTGAATTGAACTATTTAAGATGGCAAAATATGATATGACACATTCTTAGTCAAAGAACGAACTACAGCTAAGTCAGAATTAGAAGTTTCATATCAGATTTAAAAAAACCAACAACTTCTTTTTGCTTTTTTTCTCTTATACACAGAATACTACTACAAGTCAGGCCACATGAATTTGGTATATTGATTCAAATATAGGTAATAGGTTGGAAGACTTGTAGTCCAGTTGCCTAATATTAGTGAATAAGAATACATGAACTCATTTCCTCCAATGGCCTTGTTGGTGCTAGAACAAAAGAACAACACTTTAAATAAATAAACTTCACTTAACAAGAGTTCAGCTGACACTCATAAGGTTTAAAGATCTTACATTTGGATGAGCCAGAGAATTGTCATCTTGGTACTTGATAGCAGTTGGGATGCTGCTAGAGTCTATTTCTTTTTCAACGCTGGGTGGATCAGCAACTACAGATGCTGGTCCTGATACTGGAGTTGTAAGTTTCACTTCAGTAGGTTCCACTGACTGAAATAGTCAACACATAATAATTTAAACATAATCCATTTTAATATGTCTGTTGTAGATATTTCACATTGTACATGGTCTTTTGAGACTGGTAATTTCACTTAGCACAACGTTTTTAAGTTCGTCCATGTTGTAGCATATATCAGTATTTCATTTCTTTTTACTGTTAATATTTCATTATATGTATCTAGCACATTATTAATCCATTCATCAGCTGATGCATTCATAGGTTTTTAAAGGTTAGACAAGACATTTGCAAAATAAAAGATTGGAAAAAAATCGTGACACAGCCTGGTAAAAAATAAAATTAGTATTTCGTATACTGGCTTGCAAACTGCAGGTACTCAATTAATTCCACATTAATTGAGTGTTCACCTTGTGACATGTAGTACATTATAGACTGAGGAAACAAAGATTGATTAGTCATTGTTCCTGCATTCAAGGAGTTAACAGTATAGTGCTTATTCAGGTAAGTTTGAATATCTTTCCTGAGAAAGGAGGTGGCCAGGAAATTGACTCAAACAAGGTTGAAAAAATTAAGATAGATCAGATAAAAATCTCAAATTGAAAACTGAAGCATAATTTTACAAAGATAAATGGTAATTGACTGTATTATGTAGCCTTGTCCTATATCTATTTGTTTTATACCTATTTTCTATTTCTATTTTTTTTTAACTTATCTACTTCAGAACATTCACTTCTTTAAAGCATAAAGCAGATGTCACTGGGAAAAATTTCTGGATAATCATATGCATATAGTTAGTCCTTTCTTAATTTATCTTACAATTGGATATGCACCTATTTAACTAGTACTATTGAGCACTCCTAATGCTAAATACTAGTCCACAGGGAGAATAGAGGTGTGGTCTCTGAACCAACTGGAGATTATAGGTTGATCATGGAGCTCATCATGTCATAAACAAATACATAATAAATATATAATCACAAATTTAGTGTACTATCAAAGGATAAATAAGGTGCTAATACAGCAAATGATGGAGATTGGAGAGAGGGACCTATTTTTAGAGTGGGTGGTTAGGAACATCATCAAGAAGTAAAAGTTTACACCTGAAGAATGAGAGTATATGGTACATGAAGAAAAAGAGAGGATGTGCTTTGACCAGGCAGATCAGTGAGAACAAAGACCCGAGAGGACAAGGTCAGAAAGGAGGAGGCCACAGTAGTTTGTAAGCAGCAAAAGGGACGCTTAGACACTGCAACCTAGAATTTGGGTCACTGCCTCCTAATCTCAGTCATGCCACTACTGCATGGAGGTCACCCCCCCACCACAGCAAGAAAATGATACCATGCAGAAAGCTGGGGAACTGTGGGGCTCATCTTTTGTTTCCCTTTTCATAAGACTGTCAGCCTGTTCAGTACATGAAAACAATCATAATTCATAGATCTAGCCAACTCTTATAACTGCTTATGGGAGAAGGGAAAGTTTGGTATCAGTCATTTATTCTGTAATGATTGGTAGCAGAAATCAACTTTTTTTTTTAATTTTTTTTGTGTACACATGTAGTTTTATTGTAACAAAGCAACTTGTACACTTTGAACGTTTAAAACTGCGCATCACCTTTTCCTTTCCAGTGAAAACAAAGTAAGAATTTAAAAATAAACCAACAAAATTACAATAGAGAATGTCAATTCCAAATAAGACCCTACAGGTTCTGCTGATTCTCCCATTGAGTGGCAGGGCTCAAGTCATCATTAAGAGAATTTTATTTTAAAAGTGTCATCTTAAACTGCAAGGATGTCTGTTAATGTCACAATTAAACATGCCAAAGGAGAAGCCATGTTGTCAAATGCCCGCTTAACCCACCCAAACTTCTCAAACCCACCCTTTGCTGACCTTCTATACCCCATTTTTAAAAAATTTTTTAAATCTTTTTTTAAACAAGAGAAAGTAGACAGGTACATGTTGGTAAATGCTAACTGTTCATATTCACATAGAGACACAGTGTAATCTCTGAGCCCAATATACAGAGAGGAGGAAGAAAGCTAGAATTCTATGCACTACTACACAGGGGCCGAGCACCCTCCAGCTTCCAGCAGAGCGAAGAGCGCGGGGCGGAGAGTTTTCTTTTTTCCCACAGAGCACGGTGGTGTTGATTCCAAAAAGTTTGTGGAGACAGGAGGGGATCGAAATGGATTGAGAACAGAAGGCTGTGGAGATCCTTGTCCCACTGTATTCTGCAAGGTTTCTCCCCACAAAGTTAAGTCGAGAACCATGGTGTTTGAGAAGAGAGACCTCAAGAACAGGGCGACTGAGCACAAGGGGGGAAAAAGACTGCAACTTGCTCCCAGGGACTGGAGAAAATAAAAAATAAAAAAAAAATTTTTTTTAAAAAAAGGAAAAACAAGAAGGT